GGGCACTGAGCGGTTCAGAATGTGTATCCCCACATCACTTGTGATGGTTTGGGGACCAGGAAAGTTCATTCCCGCCCCATCCTTAGTCATAGGCCTCGGTCCTCTTGGCTGTCTCCAAATGCGTCTGAGGATTCCTCTTTCAGAGCCATGGGTCTTGGGTCCCTGTGTCTATCTCTCACTGCGATTCTTTCCCAAAGCCCGGTGCCCCCCACCCGTGGGAGGGCAGCCGGCCTTTCCAGCCAGGGCACAGTGTGACCGTTGGCACAGGTGCTGGTTCCAGACGCCACGTGGCGCCAGCTGGGATGCGCAGCAGACACCTCTTCCTCCAGTCGGTGGGTCCTTCCATCCCCCGACAGTCCCTCCAGGTCTTTGATCTCAAATAAAGGACACGATGGCTTACCCTGCCTGGGTGGTGGCTCCTATCTGTCAGAGTGATTTTCCTGCTCCCGAGTTTATTAGCGGAGCGTGTGGCATCGGGCAGATAACTTCTGATGCTGTTTCTGTTATCATTTATGGAGACCTCGCGCTAAGGATAGAGTTCATCGGGCGGGTGCGATGGACACAGTTGCAGTCCTTGTGACCTCTCATAGTGAGCTGGCTGGCCCGCTGAGCAGCGCTGTTTCATTAGATGCTATCCAGAAAGGATATTGCTGGGATACAGACAGTGATGTTACTCTTATCTTCTCCTGCTGTGTGTGAGGGACCTTTCGGTGCCTGGAGATACCTGCCTGGTATGCGCACTCCTTCACTGCCTCCCCAGAAGCCATATCCCCAGGCTGGGAATTTCCAGGACAGATAATAAGCCGACAGAAATACAAGTATTGTCCAGCAAGGGTGACAGGTCGGATTTTCTCAGCAGAGCATCATTTTCCGTGAGCCTGGAGTTTTATTTACGAAGCACTCGATGCCGGGGAAGGTGCACTAGAGCCAGGTCCGTCATTCAGCTCCCAGCATCCCCTGAGCACCGTCCGGCTTCTTTTGCTTCTTTTTCCCCCTGTGTTCATCCTTGTCTCTATTTTGGACACACGGATGCTTCATCAGTGGGGGAGCACAGGAAGAAAAACTAATGAAGGATGAATGTGTCAACTTCGTAATTTCTTAGAGCTCTGATTTTTTTTTTAAAGAAGTGTTAGAAGAGAAAGGTTGAGACTTGAATGGAGCAAAGACCGATGAGTTCTTCCCAGCGTTTGCGCGTCCGTTTGATTTCCAGCACGGATGGCCCTCGTGCTGCACTTGCTGCCCTGATTCCTCCTTCCCTCCTTCCCTCCTTCCTTCCTTCCTTCCTTCCTTCCTTCCTTCCTTCCTTCCTTCTTTCAACAAATGTTTGCTGGCTGCCACCTATGTGTTGGCTGCTCAGCCATTGTTCTGAAAACTGGGAATGCAGTGCAGGGTAGGACAAGACCTCTGCCTTACAGAGTGAGAGTAAGTCAACAAGTACATGAAGAATTCAATAAGTTCAGATCAAGAAAAGGAAGACACATGAATGAGAGAATGAATGAAGTGAGAGATTGATGAGGGCAGCGGCTTTAGATGGGGTGAAGTTGAAATGCGTGGCTGACACCCATTATACAAGTGCTCATGTCCTATGGAAGGACAGTCTAGCCCTTGTCCTCCTACCTCAATAAAAGTCATCAGAGCTCTCTGAGTTCCAATGTGATTCTCATGAGACCACAGTGTGAGATATCTCCAAGGGGCCGCCTATTCTCTCTGACTGCAGCTCCCATTATTTCTTTTTTTTTAAATTGGAGTATAGTTGATATACAGTGTTGTGTTAATTTCTGCTGCACAGCAAAGTGACTCAGTTACACACATATACACACACATTCTTTTATTTAATATTCTTTCCCATTATGGTTTATCATAGGATACTGGATATAGCTCTCTGTGCTATACAGTAGGAACTTGTTGTTTACCCACGCCATATATGAGCCTGCCTCTGCTAATCCCAACCTCCCACTCCATCCCTCCCCCAACGCCCTCCCCCTTGGCAACCACCAGTCTGTTCTCTAGGTCTGTGAGTCCGTTTCTGTTTTGCAGATACGTTCATTTGTGTCGTATTTTAGATTCCACGTGTAAGTGATATCCTATGGTATTTGTCTTTCTCTGTCTGACTTGCTTCACTTAGTATGATCACCTCTGGTTGCATCCATGCTGCTGCAAATCCCAATATTTCTTGAACCCACTCCCATGGGACCCACCTTCATCTCCCCATTGCCGTGGCTCTTGTTAAGTCACCCTGGACGTCCCGCTCAGTGGTTAGTGCTCTGACCTCATCCTCTTTGACCCAGAGGCACAGTTTGAGGGGGTCCATCTCCCCACCCACCAGGCTTCCAGGACCCCACCCTCTTCCAGCTTTCCTCCTTCCCCACAGACGCCCTCTAAACATCCCCAAGAATCAGGCTGAAGCCACGTCTCTTCTTGACCTACACTCGCTAGGTCCCTGTGGGTTTGAATGCCACCTGTGTGCCAACTGCCAGATTTGGTTCTCCAAGTCACATTCTGCCTCTGAACCCCACTTCTTTTGTCCAACCAGACATCCAGCTTGGACGATCTCAAACGTCATGTCCCCAGTTGAATTCTCTTCCATCCTCCACAACGGGTGCTCTGCACACGACCTGCCAGGCTCTGCAAAGGGCAGCATTTCCTTTTTGGTACAGCTTTTGCTTTTCCCTGGAGTGAATTGCCTCTTTCTGTGTGTTTGCTCAGTCCTCTGTGTACCCATCACTCCCCTGTTCCCAAACTTTCTGCCCGAGCTGTAGAATTCCTCTCGAGATGTCCTGCTCCAGGGGATGTTTTAATTCCATTTCCCCCTGAGACGTCCTGCCTGGAGCCCGGCCTCTTTTTCCTATCCAGGCTGGTGGCTCCGGAGGCCAAATCCGAGCTGGGCCTGGAAATGCCCTTCACCATCATCTTGGGAATTCCCTTTACACCTTTCTGTACTTTGTTGGATCTGCTGCTTCCCGGATCGCATAATTTTTTTTTTCCTTGATGTATAGGATGTATCTAAGGAAGCTAGAGGTATATTTTCCCACGAAATGTAGGTGGATATTTTGACATTTTACACTCCTTGGAGATCCCTTTGTGGTTTCAGCCTCACCTCTGGACCTGGCCACCCTAAGGAAGGTCTGGGCATTCAGCCAGCTGAAAGGTCAGGAGCCCGGAACCTTTCCCAGGGAGCCTCTCCCTCCGGAGGCTCAGCTCATCCCCTCTGTTCAATACGGTGGTTGGGAGAAGCAGGTGAAGTGATGTGCAAGTGGAAACACATGTTCAGTTAAAGAATGAACGAATGATCAAACTGCCCAAAGCTATTCTAATGGGAATCAAGGTAAGATAGGACCGTCAGCCAACCCTTATCTCTGGTAGCTGGTGGAGGCATAGCTTAAAAAAATAAAAGTCCAAGCAGAGCTAGTCCCATCTACGAGGACTTTTCCACGGGACACCTGCTCGTGGAGATCGGGGTGCCAAGGGCTGAGCCAAGAATCCTCACTTCCATTCATTCAAAAAGCGGCTCCTGAGCATCCTGTGTCAGCCATGCGTAGGGGCTAAGGCACAGCAGTGAGCGAGAGCGAGGCTGTGCACGTAAGCTGTGGGCCGTGGCGATAATACTAAAAGCTACACCGTGAACATTTGCTCTAAGTGCAGCACGTTCTGGGCCCAGTACCTGGAATGCACGTGTCACCTTCTTGAAGTCCCCGCCTGCCTCTGTCTCCTCCTGTCCTGTGTCACTCTCCGCCCAGAATGCCTGGTCCCCAGATAACGGCAGAGCTGGATCATTGCTGTCACTGAAGTCTCCACCTGGCCTCCCTGCCTGAATGGCCTCAACCCGCCAGCCCTGCTGCTCTCTGCCACCTCACCCCATTTAGTGATGCCACTTGCTCTTTGATGTACCTATTTGCCTATTGTCTGCACTCCCAGAACATTGCCTGCCACAGAGCAGGTACTCAACAAGTGATGCTTGGCAACTTTGAATGAATGGATGAATTAGTGGGGGAATGAATGAATGAATAAATGGAGATGCTTGGCAACTTTGAATGAATGGATGGATGAACGAATGGGAGACCTATTAAGATTCCATCCAC